TATTCAATTTGGTTATATTCGTTTGTACAAATAACCGCAAATCATTAGAATTGAATTCCTGCTCACGTTGCAATTCACGATCAAACAAATCATGCATCTCATTATTTGGTGCGGTCATATCCAATTTTACTAATGCTTTATTTGTCCTAATTAGACGCATATCAAATCAAATCTTTGTTACACATGACGAAGGTGTTCAAAAAATCATGATTTTTGCATGATGACTCATACGAATAAAAATATCTTCTGCCGTATAATGGCAAAAAGCATTCGTATTTGCTGTGGATGAGCTGAAGCAGATGCATCTTGAAGTGTTGGATCCCAATGTGCACCATACTCCAATAAATACAAAATTTAACATGCTTCACGATTTATTTGACACAAATGACCTTTGACCGTTCTCGATTCTTGTAATTTATTCTAGGCCATTGACGTAACTAAAAATAGCTTTTTAAAAATACCTAGCTTTTAAGTATAATAAAAAAAATCATATTTAACTAATTTCAATAGTTTATTCAAAATTCCCACCTTCACATGTTGTCTATGGGTTTTATCATCATTTCACAAAAAGAAAATAGAGGTTTAATAGGTAAAAAAATATATTTAATTCAAGAATGAAAAATTTTAAAGTCTAAAAATAATATTGTGACTAGTTTTAGGAAAAAAAATGTAAAGATATTTCTTCATGTAGCATTAAAAGACCTATATCAGGTTATTATTAAGTGAAATTAACTCAAATAATAAATAATTGTAGCAAAAATAACAAAATTATAATTTCGACTTACTAAACAGACATTTAAATAGTGACATCTAAAAAAAAATATAAATCACTTATCATCATATTTTTTTCGCAACTCCTAATATTAAGGTATGCGGCTATGCATGTGTTGGCCCACTTTAAACAAAATGTATGTATTATAATTGACAATTAAAATTCATGACCAGCGTAACGAGGGAATATATTTTTTCATTACGACACAAAAACAACAATTTCATTAAATATATTAAGATAAAATTGTCTTTTACAAAAATATAATTATTATTGAAATAAGCACTGGTGGATTACCGAAATAAATAATTTTGTGCAAACAAAAAAAAAATAGACATACATAGAAAGAGAAACATAGACTGGTTATAATATAGTGATTTAGTTATTAAGATTACATTTACAATTAATAAACATTTCAAGCATAATAAAATTCATTTCATTGTAAGTACTAAAAATCAAATTCAAAACCAACAATAATAACTAAAGGCTTACATAATTATTTATAATCAACTTTCAACGTATTTGTTATTTTCCGTCTAAATTCCTGAAAAAAAAACATTTAAAGTTATGGAAAAAAAATCGGAATGATTTTCAATACCTTGCTTTCTCTGCAATTAGGCGTAGCAGTTATACATATTTTCATTTATTATAATGTTAGAAAAACCAAACAGATATTATAAGTTTTGCTAATTGAAGTATTTTTAATAAATTGTTACCATAGTCGCTATATATTAAAAATAACGCCTGACAGACATTAGAAGCAAGACGGCTAAAATAATATTTTAGTATTAAAATTATTTGTTATAACTGGCATGCACTAAAGTCTGGCCGCTCGGATAGTGCGTTCTTGACACTACTTACGATATGTAACATAAATTATAGTTTTGGGAAAATTATGCATTAAATACCTTATATTATTTTTATACAAATTATATTAACAACACGATGTAAAGAAAAGTGATAAGAAATAAATTGAAACCAGTGGCTTTAGACCAAATGTTAAAGTAAAACTCCTTTCGCTCAATCTATATGTAATATGTATGTATATGCATATGTTTATATATGTACAATACAGGCATGTGAAGTCAGTGGTGGCCTAGTGGTTAAAAGAGCCGCCTCTCATACATGAGGGCGCGGGTTCGATCCTGGCCCTGGCAAGTACCAATGTGATTTTTCCGAGTCATATGTACTCTCTATAAGAGTATTTAGATATCACTGATTAATGCATTCCCAAAGAGGGTTGATGTCAGGCAGGCTGTCGGTCGTAAAAACAATTAGCCAAAACTATTCACAACATGTAAGGCAAACCCTGGCTGAAGCTGGGAAATTGCCAGGTAGAAGAAGAATACAGGCATGTATATACATATTATACAGATATTAATTTTGTACAAATACATGAATTCATAATGGGTTATCATTGATAAATATTTTTTTAAATATATATTTCTTTTTATTTATTATTTTTATTATACTTATTCATCATCGGAGACATCAGTAATAACTATGGTCGATTGTAAATTTAAAATATAGAATTAGTAAGTAATTATGGTTTTTATTTATCTGACTGAAACTACGAAACAAATTAAGTTTTCTTTGATTTACGTTTATCATATTTTTGAATTTTTATTTTTGTCGTTTATTAACAAATACTTTTTATTCGTCAATTTATTTAGTGTCAATGATGTACGCACATTACTGTTATGCATATCATATTTTTATATATTACGACTGTTAGTATTAATACAATTACAACTTTATGTTAAAGTATTCCAGTTCAAAGTTATGGTACCCATTCGGTCATAATCTGTTAGAAACGCCATCTCTGAGAGGGCAGGCTGCTTAGAACATAATATACCTAATTATTACTTTTGTATTGTTTTATCATTTGCTTGTAGAAGTAATGCTCTTTAAATAAATACTTATGTATAAATTGATATTATTGTAAATATTAATGTAAGTATTACAATTCTACATGTAAAATTATTTTTCAATATACGTATGAGCGGTATGTTAATTTAACTTATTTAAATTATTAGTTTCTGTTATATTTTTAGTATCCCTGTTTACAGAGGATTTTAAATCAATAATTTTTTGTACTTTTATAAGAAATTATTATTGTTCTTCTTCTTCTACCTGCCAATTTCCCTTCTTTAGCCAGGGTCTGTCTTATACATATGTTGTGAATTGTTTTTACGACTATACGAATGCACTAATCAGTGATGTCTAAATACACTTAGAAAGTACATATGACTCGGAAAAATTACATTGGTACTTGCCAGGATCGAACCATCGCCCTCATGTATGAGAGGCGAGCCTTTTAACCACTAGGCCACCACTGACTTACCCGAAATTACTATTGTTATTGCTCTTCAAATATTGTATATACAATATGACATCCACCTGTCTCACTTAACTTATTATTTATTTATAACAAATCATTCCATATATGTTTGACCTCTACTGTTTATAAGTATATGACGGGAATATAAATAGACATATCATTCATAGTAATTATATTTATACAGGTTAATTAAAATTCTCAGCTTGTACTGGAATTAGTTTTGTAATGCTAATAAAGTATGTGACCATATATAACAAATCTTCATTAATGTTTAATTGTTCTCGTCTACCTTTGATCATATTTTAAATAACAAGAAAAATATGATCCGTCTCTTTTATGTCTTTTTTTTATTCTACAAGTCGATGAGTTGTTCTTTTATTTTGATATCTATATTGTTTATACAATGATCTCCTACCAAATGCGTAACAACCAATTTATTAATGATTTTGTATTGATCATACCTTGATCTTTGAAGTCTGGATGTATTTTTCATTGTCAAGAAAACATTAAAGTCGATTTGAACTCTTTAAGAGTACTTTTCAAAAGGAAATAATAAACAAATGGTATTGAACACCAAGTCAGTCTTTTAAATATTAATTCAAACAAACCCTTCTTACTCATTAAATCAGCTTATAAAAAATATATAGAAATGTAGATAAGAATTATGTTAAACTGAAATATTGAATTCAATAAAATTCTCTAAAGCACATTTTTATAATTTAAAAGAAACTTTCTGAACAAAAATATACAAATAACATACCTAAATATGTTTTAAATATATTTTTTTCTGGTAAAGGGGCAACTGAGCAGACGGCCTACGTGATGGAGACATTACTGTAGCCCATGGACATTCGCAACATCTCTTATGTTGCGTATATGTCCCCACTTTTAATTAGGGAAGAGGAGAGGGAAAAAATAGGAAAGGGGCGGAAAAGGGAAGGTGTAGGAAAGGATGGGAAAAGGGAAAGGGCAACCGGGTCTCTCATTCATCGGACGAAAGGCACCCATTAAAGGCTACTTCACGCTGATCATCTGTGAAAGGGTGGTACTTCCCCGGTCGAGCCAGCCCATGTTCGAGCTGCAGTAACTTAACCACAGCAAGGCTCTGCCACCTAGGGAATTTTGTTGAAAATGTGTAATTTTTTTGTTAGGGAATGTAACAAGTTGTTCAACTGACTTATGAAGCACAATTCATGAAGAAATCTAATATGTATTTGTAATGTTTAGTGTAAAAAGAGTGAAGGACCTAATTAAAAACTAAAATATCTTTAAATACTAAAACAGTTCAAGGACAATAATTTACAAACTATTCCGTAAATATTTTCAAACAACGTAAGAACTGAATCATTCAAATACTTCGTGTGAAGTCGTAGTAGGGACAGCAGTACGATCAGTTTTTTCGTATAGTTCGTATAGAAAATGAAGATGTCTTCACACTTCTGCATTCATTTAATATACTATCAGTGACAAAAACCTTATGACTTTAAAAAAATCATTTTTTATTAATGGGATTTATTTATAATATTAAGACCTTCATATATCTCATCTGCCTGTGTTATGACGATATGAATTAAAATTATATAAATAAAAAAGGCGAGAAATTGTATCGTAAATATGTATTTAAAAACAAGCTTTATCGAGTTCAACAATAATTAATTAATCTAATTCACCATCACGAGTGCGTCCTGGGTTGTAGATTGACGTCACAATCCTCAACACACATTGTTACACATCCAACATAAACACGGTTATAAAATTTCAGTTAAAAATATCTCCTTAAAAACGGAGTCATAATATTACATAACAACATATAAGTTACGTATGAATAGGTGTATTAATGACTAAAGATATAAAAGCAACATAAACAAAGGGCAAGCGTTTAGTATATTATTATATAACCTCCCACCTCACTAAGTCGTTTATGATGCCTGTAAATCGTTGCTTGTACAATGAACCTGGTTCAAGAATCAAGCTAGAGAAGTCAGCTTCATCAGAATCCCATTTGGGAGCAGATTCAGTCTCGACTACTACCATCGGCAGAGATGACACCGCTGTCAGCAGTACGTACGGGAGTAACTGGAAATAATAACGAGGCATTTAGTTTAACGGCTGGTTATTACTAAAACGAGGAACCTTTTTCTTTGTATGAAGATGTGTGTTATTTAACGTAATTATTAATTAAATATGACACTTTAACCTTGAATACATTCTGCATCAAAGTAAACATAAGGTATTTGTTATAAATTACAATCATTTTGAAACATTCGATCGAATAACTCCATAACTACCTCTTTCATATCACTTTCAAAGTTCTCTCTGGGATACACTTCTACAGGATCCACATCCAACCTCTTGAGAGATTCTTCCAGACTCGTATAGTAATGATTTATTAGTTTGTCGTAATACAGACGGCGGAAGTCTTCATCTGAGCCCAGAAATATGATGTAGAAGAGATCTGCCACAGGACAACCAGTGTGAAGAGTCTGGTAATCAATTATTACTGCACTCAAATCATGACCCTGGAAATGGTTGTAAGGATTTGGTTGCAATAATACTATACCAAAATATTATCATTTCACAAAATCACTTTTTCAGGGATAAGAAGACTTTCAAAGTATGTATAACAACTACAAAACTCTTATGTTTATTTACCAAAAGTTTCTGCCATGGAGACAAAGGTTACTAATAATCATAACGTTTAAAAGCAACTAAAAATATAAAACAATAACAGGAAAACAATATGGACAAAAAATAGCATTAGGAGTTATACAAACAGACTGTCCGTCTTAGCTCATTTGGAAATTATTTTCGTAATTTTAATTTATTTGGCTTCCATGAAAAAGAAGGGATGTTATGTTCTTTAAAATACGTACTAAAAGAAGTTTAAAAATGAAGGTAATGTATGTAACATTACCTTCAACCAAAGAAAAGTTACCTTTAGGTAACTATTAGCAAGCGAATTAAGATCAATAAAATATATTATTTACTAATCTATAAGAGGATACATTGTATTTTGAATAAATTTCATTTTAGAACATGTCATTTTTTGTATTTCTAATGAGCAAGTTCGGGTCTCAAAACGTTAACGGGTCTCAAACCTTTTGTAAATTACAACGTGTTGTAACAATATTTAATTTACCTTTTCCTTAAATAACATGTTGCTTAATCGATAATCACCGTGGACTAAAACGGGTGTGCTGAGAGGCTTGTTATATTTATCCATCAAATTGGGGTCAAATAAAAACTCTCTGATTTTATCATGATACTGCTCCTCCTCTAGAACACTTAACGATGTCTCCACCATTTCTTTGAATTTATCTGTGACCCTTTGATTCAATGCATCTTCATCAAAAGTGTACTTCATGTCTTCAGCAATTTTTTGAAAACCTTCTGGATCACTCTTCCTCAATGCAAACGACAGAGCGTGGAACCGTGCTATAGCCTCCACACATACTCTGCCATGATCCCAATCCATGGATTTAAAACGACTGTAAGGCTTATAACCACTTTCAACTAGATTTTCTAATATGACTGTTTCCTTACCGTAAACATTATTAAAGCCGTAGAATTCAGGGAATATGAACTTGTGTTCTTCATCTAAATCCTTCTGGAGATTATTATAAAGAGGTATAAGTTTGTTGTAAACAAATTCCTCTGTTCTAAACAATTTCTCCGCGTTCGCTACTATTCTCATCTCTTTGCCCATCGTAGCAACTTTTGCGAAAAGTTTTAATGTTTTATCTGACGTTTGCAAATTTATTAAAAACAGAGCAGAAGTGTAGTTAGCACCTCCTGATGTTATATTTTTTATTTCAACTTTCCTCGGCGAGTAGCCTCGTTTATCCAAAACGACAGTTAGAAAGTCACGTAATATATCCTCAGCCATGTTTCAGATGTAACCACTGCCGCAATACTGAGTTTAGATACATGAGCTTACTATGGACAGATTGGTAAATGGTTTCTTCCGCATTTAACTGTTTGAGTGAATAATACCAGGTAATTTCACAGGGATACAATTGCTTATGGTAGGTTTTCATCCACTTTAGTTTACTGATACCGAATTTTTGGCTAGTAAAATTTTAAATATTAATATACTCTTTGATCCATACTTTTAATATTATTAATTGCTTGGGATTTCAACTAAACTATGTAGGTACTCTTATTTGCTAAATATGATAGACCAAATCTTTTGTCTTAATGATGCTACGTCAGTTTCATCCGTATGATGTTCGTTGGCTACAACAACTGCCTTAGTTTTTATATATAGATCATTACTTGCTTTAAGCTAGTGTACCGGTTTATGTGTCATAACACAATATATATAACATTAACAAAATCATACTATTTGCCATCTATAAAGGTTCAGGCGTTTAATTATTCAAATTTTTAATGTGTATATTAATATGTGTTCTCTTGTATAATAAAAATAATATTTTAATTGAAATAGAACTTATATCTTGTTTGCCCGTGATCAGGGTTGTTGCAAAGTAACCGGAACATCGGGAGTATTTAGTTAAAAATAATTATAAACGCGTAGAAAATATGAAAAATATTAGTTTCATTTCAATGAATACTCGCAAAAGTCTTAGATTTCTTTTTACTAATAAAGTTATTTAATGTCATAAATCTTTGAAAGACCCCATATTGTATCTTTTTGGGAAAACCTCGGGCGAAAGATCGTTCCACGTCCTGCAGGTGTTTTTAAATGACCGTGACCCACGTACAGTCTTGCAACTGAATGAATCTAATTTGTTATATTATGTTTTTGGACATAGGTATTACTCTTAATACATAGAAATCGTTACACTGACTGTCCTACAAATATATAGTTGCATGATGAGACGTGTTAATAAATGTTTGTGTAAATTAAACTGGAATAGTACGAGTATAATGCAGTAGTGACACCAGTTTCTTACTTTATATATTGTATACATATGTTATAAGTAATGGTGTTGGAATATTTATAAAACATTTAAGAAGAAAGTGTTGCAAATGAAATTTTACCAAATATTTATTTCACTTACATAATACAGAGGAGGGCCATGGTTTGTACTGAGATATAAGAAACTGAGAAACTGAAATATTGTTAAAGGTATTTTTTTTTCATACTTATAATGTTTCTGCTCTGTAAGTAGTAACTAAAAGTAAATTATGAATACAAGGTTAAAACTAGAAATCAGTTGCTTTGAGTAGGAGGACAGTTAAATCAACCTGTTGTGTTTGTATGCTTTATAGAGCTAAAAAAGGTAATGAGATGAGTATAATCATGTGTATGTAGGTTAAAGAAAAAATTAAAACATACTTGTACATTTTATACCTTATAATAGAAAGGATAAATTAAGTTATCAGATCGGTTGCACTGAAAAGAAGTTTTGTTTTAACACAAACAAGTTAGAAACAGAGTGTTTTTGTAATTAAGCACTATATCAATATATTATATAAAGCAATAATTAAATATAAATTGTTGAGCAACTCCAATAAACAGGATTAATGATTATTACATTATAGGAAGTCTGGATATAACATAGTCATATACTCGTGTATATGGCTTAAATTATATGTTTGTTATCATGAAAAAAAAAATGAATAAAAGGCAATAAAGAAATGTGCCTAAACCTATGTAGGTATATATTATAATAAATATACCAATGAAATGCGTTGTGCCCGAAAAGAAGAAAATTATATATTATGTACTTTTGTTATTAATTTATCGTTTGAGATCAAACTGAAGGCAATTTTTTATAATTATCATTACTAGTTTAGAAAAAATATCTCTATTGTATTGCAAATAATATGTTTGTATTTACAATTATAACTGTTTATATACATACATATAAAGTAATCAAATTAATTAATTAATGTTATCTTCTATTGACATATCAAATCCCTGAGATGAGAAGAATAATGAGTGAGTGTTCCAATAGAATGTTCATGAAAATAAATATTATCTCAATGACAATCACACACAATGACAATTCTATAATATACTAGCTGCGCCCTGCCACGCTTCGCAGTTACCAACAAAAGACAGCATATGTTTCATTGAAGCTAATTTTTTCAGTACTTGAACACGGGAACACGTATTATACCTTTGTTCATGTGAAAAGCAATGCACATCCAAATCTAGACCAAACGATTCTAAAGGTTGACCTTGAGCTCTGTTACTTGTGACTGCGAACGTCAATCGAATTGGGAATTGAAATCTTTTAAATTGAAATGGTGTATCGGTTGGGATCATGAGAATTCAAGGAATGCGAACATCGTGGACTTCCGTCTTCCGTCGCCCGTTGATAGGATCAGTGTGGTGCACGCCACCCTCTTATTCCAGGGTCACCTCGCGGTGGCGGTGTGAGTTACCATTGAGGTACCTTTCCGTATGTGAGGGTTTCTTATAAACAGTATGTCTCAAAGTATTGTCAGGATTCCTAATAACAAGTATATCAAGGAGAGCTAAATAATTATTTGCCTCTAATTCAATAGTTGAATACTGAAAATAATTATGAGTAAATTGAAAATGAATAACAATGTAAATAATATGAACTTATAAACATTTTGAAAACACGTTCTTATTGATATAGTAGTTTAAAAGAATAGTAGTATAATAAGTAGCACGTAATAAAATATTATATGCCTGAATATTGTTCAGCGGGGGGTTACAGAATAAAGAAATATTTTACAGCTACAAGTCATTTAATACGTTAGTTAACTAGGTACAAGTATAAATTAATTAATAAACAGATAGTCAATACAGGTTTACGCATATCGTATTTTCAAAATAACTTGCGTATGTAACACTGGAGCCGACTTTCGTTCCGCCTGGCCGCCCCTCTGAAAGATATCGACCACATTGGCGAGGGAGGAGCGCAAGCGGACGAATTTCCACTTCGTAGCGATTTGTAAACGTTATAAGCTTGTGTGAGTGTGGCCTTGGTCATCAATTACTTTATTTCGTACGGGTTTTGTTACTTAAGCTTTATTACACGACAGGTCTTAATACACGCTGGTACTTTACTCCTTAAATATTGGAGTCATCCGACAGCCGTAGTTAACTCTTAAACGTAGTTATAGTTCGGAATTGAAACATGACGGACGCGGAAAAAGCTTTGCGTGCTCTATTAGACCAGGTGCTTAAGGAACGAGGCTATGAACCGACTGAGATAAAAATACAAGAAATGTCATCTGGTGGCCGGAACTACACATCTGCATTGTTTTGTATTTCATTATGTTTTCCAGACAAAGAGTTAAAATTATTCGCTAAAGTTGCTCATATTGCACAGGAATTAAGAGAGGTAATGCAGGCTGACTGGTTGTATGGAACAGAAAGATTTGTATACAACAGACTTACCCATCTTTACAATGACCTCCAAAAAGATCTGGAGGATGAATATAGATTTATTTTTCCTGAATTCTACGGAATTAGTGAGGAGACAGGTAAAGAGACTGTCATAATGGAGAATCTGGTGGCGAGTGGATATGAAACATACGACCGTTTGAAGTCCTTGGACTGGGACCACGGCCGGGTCGGTGTTGAGAACTTGGCGAAATTTCACGCTTTGTCCTTCGCTCTTCAAAAAAGTGACCCTGAAACATTCAAGAAAATTACTGCTAATATGACTTTTCGTTTAGGCGGTGATGATCAAAACCAGTCTTCGAAGGATATGTGGATGCAGAGTGATTATATTGAAAGCATGCTAAGCGTTCTAGACGAAGGTGATCGAGATGCAGTCCGGAAGATAATTATGAATTCTACTTTGTCCAAATTTAACAAACCCATCGACAAGCCAGTCATATCACACGGAGACTATAGATTAAGCAATATGTTGTTTAAAGGACAGGTAATTAAAATAGTAGAAGTTATGAAAATTAATAGTTTATAAAGTATGTAAAAAACCTTCATTTTTAAAATGGATGGGATCTTTCTATAGAAAACTTATAATAATGTGTCATGCATTTACCTAATGTATATAATTAGTATCGCTAAAGTAATACTTCCACATAACCTCATATCAAAACATCTCGGTACTATGTATTATGATGAACATAATATACTCGTTCTTTATTTCAATTATACACTAAGTATGCAATTGACGACCGACAATTTTGATTTGTGAGATAATAAGCGTAATATTAGATTTGAAGGAAGGGTCAGAAGAGCGTCAGTAAAAAAAATCGAAAAGAAATGAAATATATTTTTTTAAAGACAGCTATTGAAAAGGGACATTATTATGTCAATAAATATCATAGTTGTTAACAAAGTTACGAAGGAAAGTTGTTAATTTCTTATACTGACTTAGTGATACGTATTATATAGATAAAATTTCAATAAATGGTAATCAGGTCACTGCAAATAATTTATATATGAAATATAATTTCGATAATTATATTAGTACGTTTTTCATGAACTTTTTATTGAATGTTCCTTCTACTCGGTAATATTTTTGTTAAAGATTTTTTTGTTGACGTTTTATTTAGACCTTGTTCAGTTCAATTCAGTTCACTTTAAGGTTAATTTTGTAGGATATATTATATTTGTGCTCTTATCAAGGTATTAGTGTCATTTCATTCGTTAAAGACGAACAAAATTGTAATTGATAGCAAATATATTAAATGATTAACATAATTTAAATTAAAACTAACTTTTCAAATAAATAAGTAGATTACACTATTATATTCAGGTATGTTATTATTAACATTCACAATTATAATGAAACTTATCGTGATCAAATTGCTCAGAAGTTATCTAACCATCAGATCGAAAACAATTGTATTTAACATAGTCGCGATAATTTGAGATATCAACTTAAATGAATATTGTCATAGAGCACAACTCCTATTGTTATAGAATACAATACATAATGTAACATGGTCGAAATTTGCGCATAGGAA